TACGTGGTTAGCTTGTGTTCCGCCTGCTACGTATTGCTGTAGCATGAATGAACTACTTAATTACAACTTTTTTATGTGTGTAGTACAAACAAGAGAAAAAGAGAGATCTTATAAAGACGGCTTATATGTGCGATTAGTAGAGTACCACCATTCCCACCTTATACTCGTATGACTTTTTTTTTGTCATTCTGTTTACCCCAAAATGTGAGACAGTCGATAAGTATAGCCAGCAAAGCTTAGTAGCTGACAGCGCTTTGTGCTACACTGCGTTTACCGCGTGACCACACATGTTCTTGCACCAGTAAATATATACATATCTGATATAGGAGGTCAGCAGAAATCTGTCATCAATAGATTACGTGTATGACAGTGCTACAACAAAGTCCTCGTCAATGGGACAAGCATGTTTTTTTTTCAGCCACAAAATGACCGCAGCCTTCCGTCGATCCCTAAAATGCCACTAAGTGCTGAAGACAATGAAAAAAGATAAAATATTCAGCAAAATATACGACATCTCATACAAGGCTTGGCGTCTGAATAATTTTCAACGTCTGGGCTCTTCAAAGCGTTCTTAAATCTAAACACACGGTTGAGCAAGGTGTCTCTGTTTTAGGTACAGTTTAGGCACCATGTGTCACAGTTTAAGGGATAGTAATAAATGCGAAGCATTTCTTAGCGAACTTCGGTGATTTTGAGCGTATATCTCTATCTATCGATATATCTAGCCGCTTACGGCTTTTAGCTCTGCAGGCCATTTCGATAATGGTATCATACCAAACTTGGTATGGCATAACATGACTGTATGAAGAACATATTTGAGTAGTCACAACATGAAAATCTAGACACGTATGTCATGAGTGTCATGATTTACAAATCATGGTCCTGCAGCTCTTGCGATGGTTTCCTTCACATAATATGTTGCATAACTGGTGTGGTATGACATGATTGCATGGCGAACACAAGCGACAGACCCTAACATGAAAATCACGACATGCGTGTCATGTAAGAACATGACTACATGCACACTCGTGATACGCTCACGACCTTTTTGCTAGCTTCACATATGATCAATTTGGTATTACGTGACACCAATGGATGACGAAGGTGTCACTGGTGCAAACATGATTATCGTGAGATGCGTTTCTTGTGAGAACATGAATACATTCCACACTTAAGGCGCCAATAAAGTTTGACGTGACGTGGTGCGCGTGCTCGCCGGCGGTCATTTCGTCGCTCACGCTGGTGTTGCCACGCCAGGCGCTGGTCCTGCCGTGAAGTCGCAGGCACGTGCCGCGCTTCATTGCTTTGACGCCCGCAGGTTTCATCGCATCCGGCGTCCCTCCGTCACGAAAAAAGGGAGACGCAGTGTTGTCTGCCTAAGGCATTGGTGCGAAATGCAGCATGTCGCATTTCGCGCTGGTTGCCGTCCGCCCACGCCGACGGACGCTGGTCACGCCTAGCGTCTGACTAAAGAGTGACGTTTTGCTCCCTTAGCGTCGCTGTGCCCCGCGTGCTTACGCGTCAACGCTACATTGGAGTAGATTGGGCCCCTTATGATGTACTCGCGGCCGTTTTGCCTGCTCTACATATACCGAACTTGGAGTTACATGACACCAATTGATGACGAAGTTATGTGACTGCTGCAAACAACATAATCGTGACACGCGTGTGATATAAGAATATGACGTCATACCACGCTTATAGCGTGCTCGCTGCCGTTTTGCTAGCTTCACATATACCAAATCTGGTATCAGGTGATGTGATAGAAGCCAAAGGTAAACAACACATCTAAACATGATAATCATGACATGGAAATCACGTATGGCATCATTAACCTCCAACTCGTAATGTTGTGCTGATTTAAAAGTGACATATCAACCTTTCTCACTCGTGCTTCACATATCATCAATTTCCGCTGTACGTACGATTTTCCAATTTTATTTTATTTCTATGTAGTGGTACCACAACCAGATAAGCATAACTAAGGCTCTTCGCATGATCAATAAACTACAGTTTCCTAGTTGTACACATACCAAGAGCGCGCAAGTGCATGGCCTTGAGTGTGTGTGTGTGTGTGTGTGGGTGTTACTACAGTGTCGCTTTAGAACGCTACATTCATACACCATTGAATAGTGCTCATGTTTGGCAGGATGCCAAGAGTATTTTGCGATGCGCTTGAAACAGGAAGTGGCACCCATTCATAATTCATTCTGGTGAATGGAGGATACGACGACAATAAACAGCACTGTGAAATGTTGGACTCACCGATCTTACTACAATGCATTAGTGGCCGAACAAGACCAAGTGTTTTCGTACGTCGTTTCAGACAAACGTAAAAAAAAAGTTACACTCGCGCTGACATGACCACACAAACAACACATTGAGAACGCGGTTGACGTACGTGCACCAGGAACATGACATGGCTAGCAGACGACGCAAGGAGCAATTCACACTTCGCCGTTTCGGCTACTTGCCACCAGGCGGCGACTGTACTCAATCTCGCAGCCAATAGCGCGAGAAAGTTGATGATGTGTGGTGCTTTGTGGGACTTCGGCCATTTGATGTCGAAAGAGCGCCAGGTCATAGATAGCGCGAGAAAGTTACTGAATATTCAATCATGTTTCCGCATACGTACCGAAGAAGTCATTTAAAATACTTTGTGCATGTTGACCAGTAGCAAGTGCGAGAAGCGACTATCAAAGAAAAAAATATCGACCGCGACAGCTGACAACCTGTGATTGCTTCTCTAGTCAATTTGAGATTCTTCAGAGTTAAGATCTGGATTCTTCGAAAAACTTTGCGCTCTTGCCAATACCGCAAGTCATTCGGTGCCCGGAAGCCGTTCGTCACTGTTGAATAAAGACGCAATTGTTATTTAGAAAGAATTATCGCGTCAATACTGACTGCGCGACTTGTAAATATGAAGCCGAACGGCGTGTTCTTAGGACAAATAGTCATTTTACAAACTAATCAACATGTTCTGGCGAGACGTAATGGGTAGACTACTAGGCTTAGAATTCAAAAATGACAAGTTGAAATCCTGTCGTTGGACATTTCAATTTTTCTTTTATGTTTTAATATCTTTTTAATGTGAATGTGTGCAATATCGCTTTTTACAATTATATTCATTTATTTAATTATGGCGAAAGGGCACCCTTGTTTTAACCCTGTTAAGCCATTTTGCGCTGAGTACACAGTGCCTCCCAGAGCTAGTGCTGGGACGCTGCCAGTACCAGCGCGATAGTGTGCCCATAATCAGACATGGCGCTGGACGTTTGTACACGGCGGCGCTGATTTTTGTAATGGGGGTGTTATTGTTTTATTTTTTATTTCCCATTTTCTTGTTTTCTGTTGCTTGATTTTCACGCACATGCGCTCTTAAGCTACGCTGGAATACATGTTCTGCGTGTTTCTTTCAATAAAGTGACTCGCGAGTTCGCACTTGTTTGTCTTCCCGTCTATCGTTTTCCCGTCAACAGTGCACATGCCGAAACGTTTCCAAGAATTTCCTCAAACCAACTCGCTCAACTTTCCATAATGTTAATACTCCCTAGTCAGCCAGGTAATAGGGCGAACTGTCAAAAACGCCTGAAATTCGCGTCACATAGTTCCAAGGCACGAAGCATCACATTCCAAAAAAAAATGTTGTTCTGTATGAGTTTCAGTAGTTAAAGTTATTTTTGTGTAACTAGTTATCTTCTTACTCTGCCGCCAGTAATCCGGAGTAGTTGCATAATAAGAATAATCTTTTTGACCCAAAAATGAATGCGTAGCTTCTTTTTTATAATGTATTCATTGCGAGTGCAGAAAAAAATACTTTTCACGTTGGTACTGGAACGCGACACGTCTAACAATCTTGGAAGTGTGGTGGTTTGGGCAAGTTGGTATGACATGATGATAGTTGCAGTGCAAAAACAGAGTGAGAACTAAAGGACGAGGAGGAGACGAGCGCTGACTTTTTACTGAGAGAGTTGGAATTAGCGCTCGTCTCTTTCTGGTCCCTTTTTCATCGTTCTGTTCTCGCGCTATAACTATCATCAGGTCAAACGATCGTCGAACATGAAACCAGGAGAACCACCATCTGCAACAAAATGCAGCAAGTGAAAATGATGATTGATATTTATCTGCTTAGGAAGTCTGCAGTACTGTGTACACCAACGTTTAGGCCGTTTGAAGCAATGCGCAGCGTGTGACGCACTTTCGAAGTTCTTGTACACAATTGTATGTGTACTCCATGAAAGGCAGCTCTAGAACAACAAAACAAGCCGACGACGCGGCGAGAAAACGATACGTTTGCAACACGCCGTTCTGAGCGGTGCTTTGGAATATGTAAGCGCATCAAGAGAATAGCGTTGTCGATCACACATGAATATCAAATAGCCACACTCATTAAAGTTATAGGTTGAAGCGACACGCGGAGTATTTATATATCGTAAGGTCCCACATGACAAGGTACCTCTCGGTAAGCCATTGAGGGGCACTCCTCGGGAGAGAATTCCGCAAACTCATTCTATAATACATACTAGATACAATTGGGCTATTGGCATGTTGACGAGTGAGTCTGGTATCGGAGTGTCATGGCAGACTCCAAGGAATAAAACTTTTGGTTCTATTCTTGTGTGTATATAAGGGTAACATCAATCACTGCTAGTTACGCAGTATTTGAAAAAAATAGACGAGAAATAATTTTTTAAACAAATAATAATAACACAGTTTTGCCAACATGTTCTGCTTAACGGTTTAAAATATTTCAAAATGAAGCGGCTTCACCAGTAAGTAGAAGTCCCCATATGTGTACGTTAATGTATTAGGAAATATGTTAGTAAATGACTCGTTCTTCAGGCATGTCGAACTGCTCGAAGGAACCAGTATAAGCAAGAATGTATAACAGTGTTGTGCGCGTCATATTTAGTTCTTTATTTCTAGCATCATATGTCGTGGTGGATGCATTTATTAAGTCATAAATGTAACTTCTTGCTCGCACTGCTTATTCATTTCAGTGACCCTAAATGCTCATCTCAAAACCACTGTTCACCATATGAACATCAGGAAATCCCTACGACTACGCAGAATGCATACGTTCAACTTGGTGCTTTGTGTCGCTGCATCCACAGTGCTTGCGATAACGAATGTCGCTGCCAGATCATCCGGTGCGCCGAGTGAGGCCTGTGCAACTATGGTTCCTAGACATGGTTCCGAGGACACATCTAGAAAAAGCCGCTACAGGCTCACGCAGAATCACGTCAACTTTACAGAGGATGACATCATTGAAGGTGGGTATTCTATCAGTCGTCTCGTAAAGCAGGTAGTGCTATATAGAGAGGAATGGAACGAGGGACGTAACATATTTGTATATTAGTAGTAAATAATAATTGGTAAGTTTGTATGAAGCTTGGTGCTGTATTTGTGTCACTGTTTTGTGTTATTATTTTTTTAACAAGAGCTCAGCACTATCGTTGATGCATTTATCATAGACACTCTTCGGGTGGCTTGTATCTACATCGCTGAACGTCTTGTAACATGGAGTGTCTGTATATTGTGCCAAAGAGTAATCGCCTAGTGAACTCCTTTTCTGAAGCTGTTAGTGGTGCCTGATAATCACCTGAATATGTTGATGATGTGTGGTGCTTTATGGCGCAAGGGCCAGTTGATAGTCAAAGAGCGCCATATCAGTTACTACAGATGTGTACAATGATATGGTGCGTGGCTATATAGGGGCCTTAAAATTCCTTGCGCAAACGCGGGTAAAACAAACTATTAAAATCTTGACAGTGGCGTTATATGTATAGTAAAAATGGGTGACAAAGCATTTTGATAATAAAGCCATGTGTAAAAATAGTTGGCACTAGCACAAATGCCTCATCAGTGCCCTCTTGTCCAAGGGCCACGAGGCAAGTGCTTTTAGAGGTAGTCCCCGCAGCAGCAACCTCTCTTGAGAGGTCATGCTGCACATACCAGGTTTTAATACATGGTGGAAGCGGACACCCCTTAAAAGCTAGCATCAATTTATGAGTGAAAAGTGGTTTCTTACCGTCAAACATGGCAGGGTGTAGGGGTACATGTTGTCGGTAGGGTAATGGGAAGTGTCTTCTTAAAGTGTCAAATTGTTCACACTGAATTAAAATGTGAAGAACTGTTAGTGCTTCACCACATCTGTCACACAATAGTGGACCGCCACCGGACAAAATATATGAGTGTGTCGTGTATGTCTGTCCTATCCTGAGCCTCGTTAGTGTTACGTCTGTCCGACGTGATTTTGATACTGGTGGCCAAGGACCAAGGTGTGGCTTACTAACGTGTAGTTTGTTTTTTGCGTGTCTATCTCACTCACTCTGAAAGTAGTCTCTGAGATTTCGTTTGAGAGACGGTTTAAGATCGAGGGCCGGGAGTGATATGGGTGTAGTGGTAGTGCTTTCGTGGACGGACGCAGCAAGCTGATTCACCATCACGTTTCCTTGGATCTCACGGTGCCCTGGCACCAAGCGCACTGCAATATGCTGCTTGAGTGTGTAGAGTGTGCATAAAATAGAGTAAAATGCAATGAGGACAAGGTTTTTGTTTTTTAAGAGCTTGCAGAGCTATTACCACACTGAGGGAGCCTGTATAAATAAGTTCTTTTTGAAGTTGTAATTGTTTGATATGTTTAGCGGCAACAAGTATCGCGTAAGCTTCCACTGTGCAGATACTTGTGACTGGATGTAGAGGACCAGCATCCGAGAAGTATGGGACGACAGCAGCGTAGGACACAGAAGAGTCAGATTTTGAGGCATCTGTAAAGAACTCAGGACGTGTGTATGTGTTGAAGTTCCAGGAATATGTTCGGATATGGGCGATGGGCGCGTGTTTTACAACTTCTAGAGAAGGCACGCCACAGTCTATAGCGTGCTACTGCCACGGTGGTGGCTATTCTACAGGAGCCATTAAACTGTGTTCCAGTGAGACACCAGTTTCCTCAGCTAGATCCGTGAGGCAAACTGAGTAGGGTGGCCTCATCGAAGGCCTGTTTCGAAACAGAATGGAGCTCGATAAATCATTATTAGTGTAGTATGAGGGGTGCTTCTTGTCTGGTTTCACCTTAAGGAAATATACAAAAACATGTATGTTCCCTGCAGATGAAGTGAACACCCTTTTGACTCAACGTAAAAGCTTTCTACGGGGCTGGTGCGAAAAGCACCCGTGGAAAGGCGAATGTCCATGTGATTCACGGGGTCCAGCATCTTCAAGACAATTTGAGTCGCAGACTGATAAACGATGGCCCCATAATTTAACCGGTTGAGAATGAGGCTTTTTACCAATTCATTAGACATTGCCTGTTTCTACGCCACGTAGTGACAACACCTTTTGAACATTCATGGCTTTTACACATTTTTAAAATTCTTGATGTGCGGTTTGAAGGTCAACTTGTGGTCTAAGATTTAGCCCAATAATTTATGCTCAGAAATACCAGACAGATGTTGAACATTCAGTTGAATGTCAGGTTCTGGGTGCATGCCTCTCTTTTGTGAGAACAAGACACATGTGCTTCTTTGGGGGTTCAGTCAGAATCCATTTTCTTCTGCCCAATTAGAACATATTGCGGGGGATGGATAGGTGCAAGAAATTCATTTTGATAATATAAATTGTACAAATATGTACACCACCTAGCGGTACTCCCATTTCTTGAACAGATGTTTGGGAGAGAACACTTCCCACACGGACACGGAATGTCTGATTGGACAAGTAACTCTCGATTACGGAACGCATTCTATCGCGCGCACATAGTTGAGACAAGTATCTTAATATGCCAAAGCGCCGTGTTGTGTCGTAAGCATTCTCAATATCGAGGAACAAAGAGAGGAAGTATTGTTTGCTGACGAAAGCTCTCAAATCTCTGCCTCGATACGCACCAGATGGTCGGTGGTAGGTCTATCATCTTGAAATTCACACTGAAATCGGTCGAGCAGATTGTGAGTTTCAAGGAAATGTAAAACTCGGTGGTTTATTATCTTTTCAGAAAGTTTACAAAGGCAGCTTGTAAGTGCAATGGGCCTATAACACGAAACTGTAGAAGGGTGCTTGCCCTATTTTAAAATGGGAATAATTATAGCCTCTTTGCAAAAAGTGGAGATAGCTCCATAGAATCAGATAGCATTGTGCAAGCAAGGTAGGGTTTCTTGCGTTTTGATTGGTAGCTTTTTCAACATTTCGTACACCACATGATCAGAACCTGGGGTGGAATGACTGCACGAGTTTTGTGATGTTTGGAGCAAAGCTAAGCCAAAAGCTTGGTTGTATGCTCTGTGTGTTGTACATTTGTGTTCTAGTTTCTTCTTTTCAATTTTTGTTTTGTATTTTGGAAGGCTTCACCATAGTGTGACGAGCTGGACACTTTTCCGAAGTGTGCGCCGAAAAACTTTGTTTGATCTTCCAAGCTGTTATCTTGTGTGTTTACGAGAGGGAGTGAATGCATTTGTCTTCTTGCTATTCTCCTAACCATGTTCCAGGCTTTAGCCTCCTGTGCATATGAATTAAAGCCTGATATAAAGTTGTGTCAACTTTCCCTTCTGGCCTGTCAGCGCGTCCTCTTGCCTTGAGACTTTATGTTTTTAAAATTTGTGAGATTCTGTGCTGTCGGAGAGTCTCGAAGCAGCTTCCATGCTTTATTTTGCTTTCAACGTGTATTGCGACACTCACTGTTCCACCAAAGAATGTGTCGCCTGGTGGACCGTCTAGCTTGTGGAATACACTTTGTTGCAGCATCAATAAGAAGTGCTGTCAAAAAGTCGACAGCTGCATTTATACCTAATTGACATATGTCCGACCAAATTAAGCGAGTAGCTTCTCTGAATTTTCCCAGTCTGCTTTGTCAGTTTGCAACCTCAAAACATGTGGAGGACCTTTATTTAGTGGTGTACTTACAATTATCGGAAAGTGGACACTTCCGAAGGAATTGTTGTTCACTTTCAATTAAAGCAGGGGTACAAGGGATGGGGACACTACGTTGAGATCTATGCATCAGTAGGTTTTGTTGGTGAGGCTAAAGTATGTTGGCAGTTTCCTATTCAACAGACACGCCCCCGAAGAAAAGAGGAACTGTTCGATTAGGCGACCTCGTGCATCACAGCGAGAGTCGCCCCATGGACCATTATGTGCATTCAGATCCTCAAGGACCACATAGGGATCCGGTAGTTCATCTATCAGTGACTGGAATTCGTCTTTTTTGAGACGGTACTGTGGAAGTATGTAAAGAGAGCAGATGGTGACAAGTTTGTTCAAAAGAACTGCTCGAGCAGGGGTGGGTGTAGTGGTAATTGTGTACACGCTACGCCCTGATCAACTATAATGGCCACACCACCAGATGATGCTACTGCGTCAGTGCGGCCCTTTCTGAATATTACATAAAGACGTAGAAAACTGGTGTTCCTGGAATTCAGCTGTGTCTCTTGTACACACAGCACTTTTGGAGAATGTTTGTGTAAGAGTTATTTGATATCGTGGAGGTTTTTGAGCAGTCCTCTGACGTTCCGTTGTAAACTTTGTGTATTCATTATGCGTGTAAATGAGTGCTGTGTGTACTAAAGAAGTATTGCGTCAAGTCAAGACCTTGTCAGGCCCTTGTCAGGCCCTTGTCAGGCTCTTGTTAGGCCCCGTCAAGACCTTGGAGTCTTTGTCAGGCCCCGTACTGATGGTTTTTGATTTTCTTGCGTGCTCCAAAGAGCCACGCATATCCATCGGCACCAAAAAAACCGTTGGAATTGCTGTTGTGTTTATCACCTCGGACGAGGTGCAGGATGCCCGCTCGCGACAGGGCTATCTGTCGAGACAGAAAGCCGTGGGGTTTCAGGTCCGGAGGCCTGCAAGCCTTTTGTGGGCGGAAGCGCCTGTGCTACTTCCGCTGAGGGAGTGAATGACACTGCCGCTCGTCCACTTTGTGCGGTACGTGCGGACGCCGTGGTATTTGGTAGCACTCTCCTCTTTCGTGCCACTTTCACGAACGAAAGACCCTGCATTGGTAGACACTTTTGCGCCTCCCTGAACGAGATGTTTTCATTTACTTTCAGTGTGAGTACTTCTTTTTCATGTTTCTACGTAGGCCATGTGCGAGAGTAAGCGGGGTGTCCACCATCGCAGTTCGCGCAGTAGGTAGTCGCTTCTTCACATTTGTCTATAGCGTGTTCGTGCGAAGTACACTTTGCACAGGTTTGATGGTCTCAGCAACTCTGAGAACCATGGCCGAATAGCTGGCACTTAAAAAAACGTCGGGGGTTGGGGTTGTAGGGTCAGACCTTTAACT